TTATATATATATGAGACTTTTACAGTGTTTTCAACGATTTCACTTAGTTTAAGTATTTTAAACTTTTCGAATGACTTATATAAATATTTTACGAGTTTTCTCACTACTTTTGTAATTAAATCATTTTCAAACCTAAGCTCTTTTGGATGTTTTAAACTTGCTGAATTTCCTTACTTTGTGTAAGGAGGGTGATCCCATCGTAAGGGGTACTCTCCTTGAATGCCCTTGGTCGCTTAAAAGCATAAGACTTTACACTTGTAAGGGTGTATTAGGATTTGAATTCTTGAATGTTTGGGAGACCTTGAATTAGAAATTATACTCTCATCACACTTTTATGTAAGAAACAAGTAGGAGTCGCCAATGAGTTTTAGGAAAACTCATAAACCTCGTTCATTCCTTTCTTCCATGTGGAGTTCTTGGAATAATTAGCAAGAATCTAAATTTACCCATGCCCAAATTGGTCTACATAAACCAGAAATGAGTTCAGGAGCGAGGGTACTAAGATAACGTTTCCTTTAGAGGGGAATCGCTATCTTAGCCCTAGTACGGCCTCTACTAGCTCTTCCTTTTTCACAATTTCATTACCAAACAATATATGCAACGTGATACCTAAAGACTAATTTAGTTGATTTTATTTACAAGCATCAATCACTTAGGAATTACATTGCAAAAGTCGTTATTCTTATTTAATAATATTCGTGATAAATAAACAAGATTCGCCCTGTCTTAAGTGATAAAACAACAATTAATTATTCAAATTCTAGTTTTGATTAATGAAAGAGTACTATGTGAATTAATTAAATAATAGTATGTTTAAAGTTATCAAACAACACTAATAAATCAATTAAAGTTATTTAAACAATAAAAGAAAAGTGATTTATCTAAGTGCTCAGGAAACTAACCGTTCTTCTTTTATGTTAAATCTCCGTTTTAATATGTTTATGGACTTTCTTTCTTCATCGTAGCTCCAAGGACTTCAATGGAATCAATTAGGGTTTGAAATTATTTGGGAAAAGAAAAGAAAAAGGTAGTATGATAATAAGAGAAGTTGAGAGATTAGGGTTTTGAGAACACTATGGTTTTAATTCTGAATTTTTCGGTCCCCATAATGCTGAACGAAGACCCCTATTTATAGGCTTAGGGATCTAGGTTAAGGGTTTTAGAGCCGCGCCATCAGGTGGTGCGCCCAACTCTTTGAGTCGCGCTTGGTGTCGCGCGAGCAAAGCGCGCAAGGCGCGCGCAACTGACTGAGTTGTGTTGGCTTGCTGTTTGCCTCATACGAAAATGCGTTTTCAAAACTTCCATAACTTTTGATTGTGGAGATGGATTAAGGCGTGTAGATATAACTGGAAATCTCTGAATGTATACTTTTCAACGCCGTTAGAATTAGGTTAAAATATGTTATGGATCAAAAGTTATGGCCGTTGGAGTGCAAGGGTGTCGATTTTAGGGCCCGGTTTAGTGTTTTGATCTTAATTTCTTCGTTTTGGCTCGGAATTGAGATTATAATATACCGTTGGAAAGCTCTTTGAAATGGCTATCCATTTGTGTAGGCCTTTCATGGGAATTTTATATTTGGTTCATCTGTTTGGCTCGGTTTTTCAACAATGTTTAAGGATGTCGAAAAAATCCTTGGTTCGCTAAGTGTTTGAAACAAGTAGCTATTAAGGCTAGAAAAAGATTTTCCTAGTCTTAACGCACTAAAGAATCTAGATTGATCCTTTTCAATTGTAGAACACTTTTACAAGTAAAGGTGTTCTTGGTGATGTCAAGTCATGAGAAGATATCGGTTTTAAAAGGATAAAAGGGGAAGATTTCCTCTCAATCGTGTCATCGTTGGTCTAAAGTCCCTTGATATGTAATTGAAACTTTAGCCTGACTTTAACAAAGTAAACAGATGAAAAGGGGTTTTCAGTATTCGAGCCGAAATGGTCCGATATTTGAGTCGAAAGTCCACAAGATAGAAATACATGTCTCAGCAGTTTTTTCCACAAGATGAGTACACGTGTCTTAGGACTGGGGGCACGTGACTACATAGGCGCGACATCGTCTCGTCGCTTCTTTATACAGGGGATGATTTTGACACCCTAACTATCCGGTAAGTTAGTAAGCGCATTAACTACCGTATTTGCTCCCATTCAAGAAGTTCCTGTTCCAGATGGTTTGGCGCGCCTGTCGGCTCGTAAGCTAACGCCTATAGTAATTCTCTACCTTTTAGTCCTGAGAGGTGGATCTCGCAAACCTTAGGCTGAAGTGAAATTCAACACCTACGCCGTACAATTTTGCGCCGTACGATACGCCATTTGCATTTTTACGCTGCATGAAAACGCCTTCCTTTTTGCTTCGGACGTGAAAAAAGAAGAAAACCCGGACATTTGTAACGTCAGCACAATAAAATGACAAATCTGTCTATGGGTGCTTTTACATAAAGCACCACCACAGAACGTCTTAAGGCACTCTTACGAAAAACGCTCAAAACGTATGCTTGGGGAAGGCACAAAGCACGGTGTGCATGCAAGAGTTATGCAAAAAACTAACAAAGAAGAAAACAAACTACAATATGAAAAGCAATTTAAAAAGATTATTATAATTTGCGCGCCATTACATCTAATAACGAACAAAAACCGTTGAAAAAATGATCAAACGGATCAAAATATGGATTCCGGTCATTTAGTGACCAGTATCCGCGCGCAACTCAGTAGGTCGCACTGGCCAGGCACGCGCATCGTTTTGAGTTGCGTTGGTTTGTCACGCCCAACTAATTCAGTTGTGCGTGACATTTAAGTCAGCAAAAAGAGAATCGTTCAGCGCGATTTTTCATTTCGCTATCTCTCTCCTCCTTCACGATCTGCGCTTCTTTCTCTCTCTAAAGAGCTCGGATTTTCTTGTTTTTCGAAGCTAAAGGAAGTATATCTCGTTCCTTATTCATATTTGCCATAATTCGTTCATTTTTTGCTGAATTTAGGCGATTTTCGAACCGTTAAACCCCAAATTTTGAATTTGGGGATTTTTTATTCGACTTGTTTTCATGAATTTGTTTGTTTGTCCTCGTGAAATGTTTAAGCAATATATTGCAACAAATTTCATGTGAAGTGATAAAATATTAATCCTATATGAGCATGTCAAGTATAATGTGTTTTTTTTGTTCTAATTTTGACTTTGTGCTTGAACTTTATTTCTCTTTTTTTTTTGCTCACATAGACTATACTTGTTAATTTTAATGTAAATTGAAGTGTTTAGAACAACAATTATGCATTAAAATTATAAATGAAAGTTTTTTCTTGCTACTCATATTTTTTTCATGCGTAAATTGCAAAATTGGCTTTATCAATGATAAAAATAACCAATGGTTATTATTATTCACTTATAAAACCGTGATTTAAAGATTTTCACAAAACTAGTTAGTTTAGAAAATTCTTTAAGAGATCATCGAATTGGTGTAGCTTGGTTATATTTCGGGTTCGTAAGCCCCTATTTTACATTTTCGAATGTTGTAGCCCACAGTGTTGGGTGACTTCGAGGATTTTCTTGTTGTCAATAATTAGACCCTTTCATGTTGCTTAAAATGGGTCTATAAATCCCGTGTTTCGTCTTATTATGATAACAACAAGGATCTTGGAAACGATTAATTAAGTGTGTTTAAACCGTTTTTTGACCATTCATAGTTTTAAAAAATAAATTTTCTAAGTCTAGTAATATTGGTCATTCATTAGAACAAGTAAGGGGAAATATCAAATGTTGTTCAAATTTTTTGTCTATTCTTGCTACTTTAGAATTCTTTCTTTTGACTTCAAATTTTGTCACTATTTTGAAGCTCGAGAAAGTAGATGTTATCCTCCTCGCAAAATTCCAATGTATGCAACAATGGAGAATAATTTTAAATGAAGACTCCTTAATTTAGAATTTAGGAGTCTTTTGTTTACATTCTAACTCATGAAATTGTTTGTCTTATGTTAACAAAGTGTCTTGATACAATTTTCATGATGAATGATTGAGCACTAAACTTTTGTATGAGCAAGTATGATTTATGCATCATGATTTTGTTTCTTTTGCTCTATACTAATCATACTCTCTAATCTCTAGAGTAAATTGAAGTATTGGAACAACAATTATGCACTAAGATTAGTTTCTGAAGTTGAACTTTAAAATGGCTTGACTATGTAACATGTTTAATGGCCAATTTTAGTTGCAAACTTAGTTTTCAAAGGAAACATGATTATTAAATCATTGTGATACGTTTGAAAATTGTAAGGCTCGAGATCTACGTAAACCCTTTGTAGTTTAGACGTTTCTCGAAAGTTGCTCGAATGGTATGAATATCTCATTTTGTTTTTTGGTTGATATTGTAGCCCCCATCTGTCGGGTTATACGCATTCTTTCTATTTCACAAGTCTTGGAGCCCCCATTTTGGGGTAGTTCTAATGACTTGCTATTGTTTAGGCCATCCATATAATCATGATATTGGGATGGACCTATGTATATATCGTATTTTTGTTTTTTGAGATATTTAGGATAATGACATTGCTTTTGCATTTTAGTTAAAGTCATGTTCAAGAAAGCAATTTAGTTCTTTGCTTGTTTACAAACCAAATACAATTGTGTTCAAGGTTTAGTAATCTTACCTAATGTCTAGACGTTTGTAATGATCATTGCGGTGATTTTATTCTCAAAGTTGATTTAGAACATCAAATATTTTCTTAACTACAACAAAAACTAGATTAGAGATCGAAAAATATAGAACGGTAATCAAAGGTAGGCGTTCTCCGGAAGAATATAGATCGTCTTTATATAAGAGATGTTCTGTATGTTAATACATATGAAACGCTTAGGATAGATAACCGTTCTCTATTTCTTTTTACTCAAATAATTAAAAATAATAATTATTTATTATAGATGATATAGAACGGTCTTCTTGACAACCGTTTTGTATTATATTAATTAATTTTTTTTTAAATTTCGGAGGAAATTATATACATACGGAGTAATAATTTACCGAAATTATCAAAGGCGGCTTAGAGGGGAAATTTTCACTTTCAGTAGAATACTTCATCAAAAAGTGAAATCTCTTTCTCATTGACTCAGTCATCAGAAAAAAAAAAGTGAAACCTTCATCAAACTTCCATTGTAAAACCTTCATCAGCCGCTTACCGTGCCGCTCCACGTCTGCAGCACTGCACCAGTAAATTAAGGTAGGCTCGATTTTTTTTTATTGGTTCGAATTTTTCTTCTCAAAGAGTAATTAGATTCTGATAATTGTCAATCTAATTGCATGAATCATTCAAACTATGAAGGAAACAGAAGTGAATTCGTAGTTTCATCTATTAAAGTAATTTGCAATTCGAATTTTAGGTGATTGAAAAAACTTCACAGTTCTAGTTTTAGGGATATATTCCGAATTATTATAGTTTTTTCAATCAAATTACCCTTAATTTTGTCGAATTTACTTTAATTGCAATTGTAATCAAAATTATTTTAGCAAAATTAATCTTACCTAAGTTCAATTTAGAACCCTAATCAGTTTTTTTTTTTTTTTTTAAAAAAAAGGAACAAAAAGAGAGGACTTCAAACAATGGGATAAACATACGATTTTTAGTTTTGGTTGAGTGTGTTGGTAATATATGATGTTGGTAGAATTGTTGAGGATATGGCTGAGCCGGGTTCGGTTAAAAACAAAATGTTTGGTTTTTTGTGTTCACATCTTCTTTTGAATAAGATTTAGGGGGTGTTTGGTATCAAATTAGTAAATGTAAGGGAATGGAAACAAATTAGAAGGGGAAAGGGTAATATATAGTGTTACCCTTACTAGTTGTTTGGTATTACTAAGGAAACGTAAATAATTGTAATCAATCCCTTTCCTCTTGTTTGGCATAGATAACTTGGAAACAAATAGTTTTCCTTCTAATTTTTGATGTCTTGCTAACTTTTGATATACATTATACAATGTAGAGCAACACTAATTACCATAATATACATATATATATTTTTTGAACCGATTACCATAATATATCATATGCTAGATATATAGGCAAAGTCACATAAGTTGTTGACTACAAAAGCATTGAAATTCTAGTATTCTAAAAAAAAAAAAATAATAATAATAAAAAAAAGCATTTAAAAACCATTAAAACATTAACTCCAATAACAACAACTTAGGACAAAACTTTCTACTCCTTCTTAAGAAGATCAATTGCATATTGTTTCTTCATATTAGTTGGAGCTTGATAGAAGATGTTGAGCTTCATACGTCCAATACCTTTTATTTTTACCTCTACCTCGATTGCTTGCCTCACCCTTAGCTTGACTAGCCTCCATCTGAAAAATTAAAAGCAAAAAATAAAAAACCAAAAATCAATTGAAGCTACTACTGACCTAATGCTGATTTTTTTAAAATAAAGACATCATTTAACAATCACCATTGAAAATGTTAACATACAAAAACATAACACCATAAAAAAGGTAGTGGTACAGATGCAATAAAGACTGAAAGGATAACAAGCAGACTAGTAGAGGTTATGAGATGTCAAGACTTAAGAGTAAAATTATCGAGATTATGAGATTAATGAGTTTTTTTTTTCAACAATAGATTTAAAAGGTACATAAATTTAATTAGCACCCAAAGATCCATCAATTGTGTCAAAAGAGGCTGGAGTGCCTAAGATGCATCAGTATTAAAGTGCCTTAGCAAAATTTCCTAGCCTATAACCATGAAGGCAATGAAGCACACTAGTACAAATCAATGAAAACTAGAAAATATAATGTCCAAGACAAAATCCTAATAGTAAATCTAGACCAATGAAGCCTTATGTTTCAATACAAGATCAATGTACACCAAACTTTACAATCAAAACAACATAATAGGATTAACTAATCTTGAATTGAGAATGATGGGATTACAACAATACATAAAAACACACTAATAAAACATTCTTTTAAATGGTATCTTTGACCTCTATATGGAGCAAGAAAACCCTCACAATTCGTATACCCCGCATCAGCCAAATAATAATTACCTTCAAAGTTATTGAAAAAAAATAATTACTTCCAACCAAAACTAATAAAACATATACACTCACAAAAAAGGCCTTCACTTACCTCAAGGTACTCTAAAACCGTTTGGTCTAGAAAGAGCATTTCGAAGTACACGCATATCATGGGCCGAGTCTTCCCAAGGAAGAACATAAATAAATTGCATATTAGGTGCACAAACACCCAATACATTCATAGCAATCGTTCCTTTTCTTGTTCTATACTTTGGTCGTTCTTTTGAAGGCACATTTACATTAATGTAAGTCCCATCTAATGCCCCTAAACAATTCTACAAAAATAGGAAAAAATATTACTTACAAACAAGCAAAAATAAGAAAATCCTAGCAAAATTTAGGGGCTTTGAAAATATCAATACCTTGAAGGATTTCCACCTTTCATCTTCACAATCATCCAATATTTGTGTGGGATTGTAAAGTAGTACTTCATGCAACTTGAGAAAAGCCCTTAGACAAAGGTGAAATTGCCGGCTCACGGTTTCTCCACTTCTATAGAAGTAATGTCCAATAGACCTATTCTTCTTATGATGAGCCAACATGTATAAAAACATGGCTACTATCTCTTGAAGCGACATGTTTTTTGTTCCACTCAAACCCCCAATGTCTCTAAGCATCTCACAAATAATATTGAAAGTTTTTCTATTAACGCGAAGCTCACTCTTGCATTTCACATCACTCTCCTATAAAGCCCTCTCAATACTAACATCCGTAACAATTTTTTGTTTCTTTTCCTATCTTTTATTTGAACCCCCCTTATTGTAACAACGCTAATTATATACCACATCCAATACATCATCAACATAATAATAACCATTGCAATTACTATTTGTATTTGTTTTAGCTTTTCTTCCTTATAGAATGCATAAGTCGAGGCATTGTACAAGAAACACAGAAAATAAATGGCAATTGAACCTGATAAATGGCAAAACAATAGTTATATCAATCTCTAGTTAATCAAATAACAAATATTGTCAACCAAATCATGAGGAGTAAACTACTCAAGAAACAAGCAAAATTAAGCAAAAAACCATGGTATATATACTCAAAATAGTAGCAGTAACTTTCTCACTGTAATGCATACACATGTGGAGCAAAATAAGACATGTATAGCACCAGAAAACCATGGTCTATATACTCAAAATAGTAGCAGCAACTTTCTCATCATAATGCATACATATGGAGCAAAATAAGACATGTTCAGCACCACCAATAATCTATTACATTCATAACATAGATATAATTACCAAATGAAGAAATTATACAAAACTCCAATGTTTGTTAAATAATTTCAAATGAATTGAAGCTTAAAACAATAACATTCGTAGCTGAAACTTGAAGTAATTATAATAATACAATCAAAAATCAAACAAAAACAACTTTCTAAGATTGCAATTGAACACGCAAGTTATAAATTCATACCAAAAAACGCAAAAATTGATACTACATGAACCCTAGAAATTGAACGAAAACAACTTTCTGAAGTTGCAATTGAACACGCAAGTAATAAATTCATACCAAAAACGCAAAAATTGATACTACATGAACCCTAGAAATTGAATGAGAGAAATGAAGATAGCAAACCTGTGATAATTTCTGAAGATTTGCAGAAGAAAATCGAAAATTTAGGAGTAAGATCTGGAGAATTGCATCTTCCTCGTAGAATCGTCGAAATTTTTTGGGAATTTTCAAAGAATTATCAAGCAAGTGAAGAGGAGAGACAAGAATTTTCTTTATTTTTTGTGTTAGAGGAAGGAAAGGGGATTTGTTTCCTCACCTATTACAGGGGAAACAATTGGGTGGATTGGGTTACCCCTAACTAACGGTTTGTGTTACTTTAGTCCGTAACCAAACACAATGTAACGGAAACGCTAATATGATTCCGTTTCCATCCCTATAAAATCCCTATATCAAACACTCCCTTAGAGCCTACATAGACTTGCTATTTTGCCTCTTCTTTGGCTGAATATTCATCTGCATTTAAGGTCAGACAACATTAGATATAGAGTTGATAAAGTGTAATCGAAGGGCCAGCAGCATATGATGTGCTTACAAACTTTGAGCAGCGATGGAGAAAAGCCACAAAATCGTCTCTTAGACGTAAAATCAAGAGCATCTCTCACTGGCATGATGATGCCTTACTGAAAATAAAGCGTATATCTTGGATACTTAGCCCTGTTAATTGTACATCCCCTAACGACCCGTTACTTTGGGTGTGATGAGAATGATCCAGAGGGTTTGCAAGTTCAGGTAGCTAATATAACATGTTAGATTATATTCTTAGTGTAGGGGTTGCTATAACTCTATCCTAGCTGATTTCTTGCTGTGCTAATAAGTCAAATATGTGTATTGTTAGGCATGATTATTCGATATTTTTCCAATCTTTTTCAAGAAAAATTCAACCAGGAACATTTAGAAGAATGGATGTAGTACCTAGAAGTGCTACTAATTTTAACCTCTTATATAAAACTGTGTTGATGCAAGTTTTCCGGTCTATAGATTCAGGTTCTACACAAGGATTTCCAAAGGATGTTCAGGAGGCTGAGTCTCAGGTTCGTTGACACGATGCTTTGCTTTTGCACTAACTATACTGTTAGCTATGTATTTCGATAATGAAGCCAATTTGGACTCAATGTACCTGTATTCATTGCAGAACCTGGTTTGTGCCAAGAATTTGGTGATAGACAAGAGCATCAAAACAGCATACATTGAAGCAATCAGATCTGCTTAACATTTCATTTATATAGAAAACCAGTATTTCCTTGGATCATATGCTTGGCCAAATTACAAAAATGCCGGTATGAAAATTTTTGTTTCCCTTTCTTATAATCTTGTTGTTGAGGTTTTTTAGAAAATGTGAATGTTCTTGTTGGATTTGATGACAAGTCTGCTTAATGATTTTGTATTGGCAGGTGCTGATCATTTGATACCAATGGAGTTGGCCTTGAAGATTGTTAGCAAAATCCGACCCAAATTGCTGTCTAAGTTGTCATCCCTAAGTGAATTGTAGATCAATATGGTATTGGTATATCTAAGCATTATTTTTTAAGAATCGACATTAACTAGAAAGTTGTTTTGATATTAAACTCGGGTATTTATTTGTATAGAAAAAATTTTGTATGGATGATTCAATTTAATTGTGGTTGCATGTTTTAAATTATATATATGAAGTATATTTTGATGGCTTTCGTCGTATTTGGAAATGTTTTTGTTCATTTTATTATACAGAAATTTATATTGCACGTATACAGGATCATGGATTTATTTTTACATAGGAAATGTGAAAATTTTCTTACAAGATAAATGTACAAGATAAAAAACAGGAATACAACAAATACAGGTCTAAAATGAAATACAAATATAATACAAATTATTAAAATATAGGAATAATACAATATAAAATACGTACAGGGGTAATTCAAAATACATAGGCTGGGTATTTAAAAAAAAAAACTTTAGGGAACTGTTATCTAACTTAACCGTTCTCTACTGTAATGCAATATAGAAAGGTTAAGTGGCCTAAACCGTTCTTTATTCCTTCCTTAGGGTACGAATTTAAGAAGGGAAAAGAGAACGGTTGTGACCATGTGGTTATATAATACACCTAAACAACCCGTTCTCTATACTTTATACATCGCTTAGCAGAAGAACGCCCTTAAGGCAATCTATAAAGCCTATTATAATATATCTCTAAGGCCTTTTTTGTAGTAGTGCTTTGTTGTTATCAATCTTTGATTTTGGTCTTGTAGGTGGTTCGTTTACCATCCCTTAGCCTTTTTTTACGGGAGAACTAAGCGAGAACAAGTTCGAGTCAAAAAGAAGTCGAATCTTATTTCATTCCTTTTGGAAATATTTATGTATATACATGTATTATCCAAACGGTTATTGAGAATCTAAAAATTTATTTGTTTGAGAAAACAAAATTCTAGAAAGGAAATTTTTTGAATACTATTTTTATTAGAAACATGTTTCAAACTAGAATTCGAAATTTGAAAAGGGTCCAATGAAAGTTTGTTTTTAAAAGCAACTTTTTCTAGTAGGCAAAATATATAATCATATTATTTTCAAATCTGGACCCAAAATGGAAAGAAAAGTCTAGCTCGTAATTGAGTGTGACTTTTTTGTCCAAGATTGATGAAGGTAAGTTGTAATTTGCAACTTATTTCAACAAAGATATGAAAATGTGAGCAAACTTTTGTGTATCCAATTTTGTCATCTCACCCTTTTTGGTGTTTGTCATCATTGTCATACTTTGATAATTGAAAGTGAAGTTCTTCTAATTAAAAAGTACTGTAGTTTGAAAATGAATATTTACTAAACTTAGGTCTGATGGAGTGTTAGAATAATTTATAAACTCATTCGAATCACTTTCCAGAATATGGTCTCATTTCAAAATGAAAGTTGAGGTGAGACCTATATTTTTGTAGCCCCCAAGTGTAACCTTAGGTGGCTTTTTCAATTCATGTATACACATTCTAGGGGATATTTATCATGTTTATTTGAAGCCCCAAGATTTGTATTTTTAATTTGTGGAATATTGCATATGTTTATCATGAATTGTTTGATCAAGTAACATAATTAATTATCTTGGCCAAATAATAGGAAGTGGTATTCTTCCCTTTGTTATTTAAAGTTATTAAGATGGTTCGTAATAAGTTTTGCATGACATTAATTTCGTAGCATAAATAGCGTGTTCAAATCTGTAAATAGAGAGAAGTGGGGATGTCCTGGCTTTTTAGCCCCCAGTTTAATGCAAAGAGCGAAAAATTATACTCTTATTTTGAGTATTTTAGTTGCCAAATGGGAGAGATCATCCCGACTTACCACCTAAAAAGAAATGAACAAAAAAGATGGATTTTTATAAAAAGGAAGGGGAATCCAACTTTCCCATAGAAGAAGAAAGAAAATTAGACATGTTTTCGAAAAGCAAGGATTATTGACTTAATATTTGAATCATTGTGATGACTTGGCAGTGAGGTATATGTGTGATAGCGATAACGATCATTTTTTTTCATGTAGCAATCATGTTCAACTAATGTTCCTCGCTTAGAAAAGATGGAGATATCCCATGTAGGCGGACATACTAGTTGCTTATGATAAGTGAGAAGAGCAATGCTCAAGAGTTGTAAAAGACATCTAAAGTTGACATCAAGGTTGTCGATATATCAAATCAATTTATTGTATTAACGCTTTTTATTTTAGGCAACGTATATAGAACCTGAATTACCTTGGTAATAAATAGCCCTATTATTCAAAGAAAACAAGATGATTGAGTTTTTTTTTAAACTGATAGTCGTCTCATTTTTCTTTGGCAAAGGATATGGAAAACATTGAATTTAGTTTGAATCGATTGCTTTACTAACATGATGTAATCAAGCCAATGGCTATCAAATCATCCAAATCATTTGAAATTTTTTTAATATGATCTTGTAATCATAACTCAATACTTCATGCATTTTATATATTGGCATGACTACTTAATAGTAGGTACATATGTGCAAAGGCCTAAGATTTGCCTTAATTTATGGAATGATGATTTTGGTATATGGTTATGGTCTACCTCAACGAGAGCCTTTCCAAGGTCGTAACGTGGCTAGGCTTGGGGTTATGAACAATGGACAGGCTCAAGTATACTCCCAAAATCCTTTACTTTTGGTGCTTATCAAATTAGAACCTTTCTGCTTTGTGTGACAACTCCTACATTAGGTGCCTTTTCCTTGTAATCTTTCTTTTTTTTTTTTACATGTTTTGTTTTGGGTTTAGAACGATTTTTCTTTTTTCTTTTGCATTTGATCTTTCCTTTTGGGTTTAGACTAAATTTGTGTCCCCCTCTTATGTTTCGTTCCCCCAACTTCCTATTTGTATATTTGCACCATTCCCATCCCAAGGTATGTGTAGACACCCATTTGTGTCTCCCCAAAACCAAACCCAGTGATGAGTACCTTTCACGTTGAATCATAATCGAATGAAACGAAAGTGTGGAAAGGTCTGGTGTTGCGGAAAGTTTTATTTCTTTTATTTTCTCCTGTTTTTGAAAACTTTATTTTAAGAAAACAGCCAATCAAGTTTGGTTGGTCCATGATATGGGTCCAATAGTGGTGTAGTTGGATGGGGTTTGCAAAGACCTTTCCAATGATATATTATAAGCCCAATTTCGATGAATATTGAGGAAGTTATGGCCAATTTACTAAACTGGGCCCGGTTTGAGCTTTAAGTACGGCCCAATGATCTAGGGGAGGGCCTAATATGATTTATCATTCCTAATGTAATTAGGAATGGTTTTGGTCTTCTAGAACATTCTAGAAGGTCCTATCATTCTTAATTCAATTAGGATTCTTCAGAGTTTTAATCAAGATCAAATAGCCTTTTCGACTGAAATTGTATTATTTTATCTTCCAGTACGGGAAATTTATCGGATTTTCGAAAACACGTTGAAATCCAATTTGGCGTCCAACCCCAGGCCTTGGCGCCTGGAATCAGGATTGGCGCCAGACGCCAGCCATTGGCGCCTGACGCTAGCCACTGGTCCTGGCGCCAATGAGCCAGGGCTGGCGCCAAGTTTGTTTTGTGGTCTTCAGACTCTGTTATGATAGATTATCTTTTTTGGATGATTTTCTCTATAAATATCGTATCAAAAACTCCGTTTTCAGGATCAATTACCATTCATTAATTCTCTTCATTCATCATCTACATCATTCATTCATCAATTTTCAATAACATTAATTCTTTAGCATTCTTTCTTCCTTGCTTTTTCATACAAAATTCCGCATTCGCAAGATCTAGAAACATCTAGCCATATTCGAAGTTGCCTTCGCCCTAGACGTGAAAGGTTTAATTTCTGAGGGTTTGGTCCCAAATCTCTCTTTCAATTATTTAATTTAATTTCTTTGATTATTATTTTCCTTAAAGTTACTAACGTGTGTATTTTGTTATTAGAAAGAGGTACGAGGCATCAAAGTAAGTGCTTTAATTGATTTATGATGTAGATATCATGTTTATATTTTTATTATGTTATTCCTAGTATCATGTCTAGGTTAATTTTAATATTAAATATGATTGCTATGATGCCTTTTATTCTCTTCCTAATATTTATGATTGTTAGTATCATGTTAGGGCTAAAGATTTGATTTTTATTGCTTAGTGACATGCTAGGGTTTGCTATTAATCTTGTTAGTATCATGCCTAGGATCTTGCTATGCTTTAACATGATTATTATTATGATGATTATTATTATTATTCATGATGTTGATTATTTATTATGTTGCTTGATACATATTATTTTTTTATTGTTATTGCTTGATCACCTTTTATTGCATGTTAAAGGGAATTTGATACTTGCAATCACGCTTAATAAGGTAATTAATAATCTTGTTAGGTTAATTGTGATTATAATTCAAGTGATCGCCAATGATAGTTTGTTTGTGCATTAATATTCAACCAACATAGATTAAACAGGTTTAGGGTTAATTCTATTGATTGTACGTTAATCAGAAAACGCACATGAATACGAGCAGAATAAAGTAGAGGCCTATTATTAGGGCAGGTTCAATCTCTTTTAGGTTTGATTTGTACCATCATCCCCGAACCCTTATTTGGTTCATGACCTTATGGAGTTGACGATCTCTTGGATCGTTAAGGCTGTAACCTTCACCTCGTGAACGGTTTACAAGTTCCTTAAAAACTTGTTGGCGACTCTTTTACTCTATCTTCTTCCCTTTTGGACGCCACCGTACTTTAGTGTATGATCACAGTGGGGTTCAAGCTTGTGGGATTTTGAAAGGCTTGAAAATATTCCCTACAGTTTTTGGCGACTCCACTGGGGAGGTTCGACTTTCCAGAAAGCAGACAAAGCAACGTTCGTCCTAAAGGACCAATGGCGACACGAGTCCCTTAGTGCGCGAACGAAGTCAGTATAGGCCAAGCTGGCCCAGTCATAAGTCCCGATCCGCCGGAGAACGCGAACAGCAGGGAGGTAGTAAAGCAACGCCCTACTACCCCTGTCAGGGGAGAATGTCCCTGACAACAACATCAGCACAAAGATGCGCACCCGCTGCTCTCGGGTGGTCGCATCGTCATCAAGAGCCGTTGCCAGCGTTGAGCGGCGAATCCCCCTAGCACTGAACTGAGTCGTCTCGACCTTAGCTCGGGCCCGAACAGCAATCGGCCCCAACAGTTCCTCGACCTCTGGAGAAAAG